TTTCACCTAATGTATGTAATTCTCTTCACCCCTTTTTTAGGATGGTAGGGGGCATCTGATTCTTCCACTTCTGCTTTGCTCTGTTGGCAAGGCTGAAGGAATCTGCATCTTAAAGTGGGGGCACTTGCAAAATACTGGAATAACCAGTAAGGTTATATTCAGCTTGATCTAGACTCTGAATCATGCTGGAAACCTGGAATTCCCCACATTCAAAATGTTTCGATTTTGTCTCAGATAACTGATAAATTCAATTGCCAATTTTAATGGTAAAATTCAGCACTAAATAATGATTGAGAGGTATGGTGTAAGAATTTTCTGATACATGTTGGCTATCAGGCAATACATATAATTTCAAGGTTTTGGCATCTTGATATTTCTGCTGTTTCATTAAGTAGCTCAAAGGGTGGGGACATACAGTCTGTGAAAATATCCTATTTAACACATAGTTCATATAATAGTTTGTGTGTTATTACTTTTAATTCTCTCACAAATGCTATAAAGTATTGTAATAAGGTACAAATCAAGAATTTGACTGAAATGCATTCATTGGGGTTCTTAGAACACATATTTACTACATTTGCCTAAATATAAAATCCCCTTCTCAAAATTTATATTAATAGAAAAATAAGTTTTTACCTACAAGAGTTTGATTTTATCCGGTCACTATCTAAAGTAATTCAAAAATATCAGATACAGTTCAACTATCCACACCTGCTTATGCTGTGAATAGTAACACTAACCATGCTAAAAACAGCATGTGTTTTGTGTTACAAGTAATATAAACATTCATCCTAATGAAGCATTTCACTTCGTTTGCACTTATAAGATGGCCCCTTTTTTAAGATGATAAATTAGGAAACGAATTCCAGATACTATTTTAATTTTCATAGACTGTTTCAGGAGGAGTCTGACAGGCTTTGTGATTTGAATAAAAAGGGGCCTGTTACTGTGGATCTAATTCAGAAAAGTTCAGGTGTTATTATAGTTTGAAAATAAGTTACATATGTACCAGAAATGAGGGATTTTAATTAAACATTTCACAGTTATTTTAACATGGAACTGAAATGTGTTATTTGACAATGAAACATGTTACAAACACTGTTCAAAGTGTTTGTGACTTGAATGTACATTTGAGCACTGTTACTGTGCAGTACATTGAGGTATTCTGTTGAAGTGGCTGGCAATGCTGTATATCAGCAACATGCTATATACATAGGATTTGAGACAGGTGACGTCCGAGGTATCCAGTCACATCAGAACCGTGATGATGGGGACAGAGTTGGTTCCCAAAACGTCGGTTTACTACAGTAACCAGTTAACACGGCTGATTGCCCGAGAAGGTTTTATTGATGCTATGTGCATGTTTAGACCTGCTCAGTTTGATGTTTTGTTATTGAATAACATCAAATTTTTAATTAAACTCCTTATTTATGATATGTTAGTACTGTTCAATAGAGACTGAGAATGATTTTTTAAAACACCTTCTTTATTTAGAATTATTACAAGTGTGTTCCTTTTCAAATAGGCCCCCCTGAAGTCAATACTCATATCCCCGCAGTTCTGCCACTCATCAAAGACATCAGTGCCATTTTTGGACATTTTTGGACATTTTCTCTAAAATCACCTCTACAGCTTTGACTGCAGCATCTTTGGTCTGGAAGTGCTGTCCTCAAAGCTGTCATTTTAATATGGGAAACAAAAAATGTCACAAGGTGTTAGATCTGGGCTGTAGGAAGGATAGGGAATATAGTGAACACCTTTACTTGTTAAAAATTGAATGGCAGTGTTTGCAACATGTGGTTTGGCACTGTCATGATGAAGCAACCAGTGTCCAAACAAGCTAAGGTCATTTTCTTCTGATGGAGTCCTTATATATAGCTTTAAGAGACCCACTGAGTGCTTTGCCGCTTACTCTCAGGCTCATACAGCCTAATCAAGGTTACAGCACAAGCATAACTAAACATGCAGCAACCTATAACTGCAGACATTGACTCGCACCTGTCAGTGCTACCAACCACCATAAATGAAAAAATGGAAGTTCCATCAGGACTTACAAACATTTTACAGAAAATCGTTCTTAATCTTTATTGAACAGACTCGTATCATTATCCTACTTTCAGAGTACGATGAATCTATAAACATTCTTTGTTCAGCTCATGTTAATAGGACTTACTCACTCAAAGCCACTTGATAACTGCACTCATGAAGATTGGCAGGTTCCTTCTGAATCACTCTGTATACTCACAACTGGATAAGAGGAAGCTGAATGGTGTCTACTCCAGATTCAGTTCAATGCATACCTTGACACTTTGAGAATAGCGTTCATAGAATTTAGAATATTTTTTGGTAAGAGTATAAAGTATATTCTGTTGATGCAAATAATGTGTAGCTATTTAACAATTTTTAGGCAACAGAATTTTCTTGTGAGTCTTTCTCACCTTCATTCACTTGGAAATATCCCTGTCTCAGAAATTCAACTGTTTACCATTTTAGATTCTGTTGTGTGGGCAATTTGATTACCGAAATGTGAAGCAAGATGTCTTCCAAAGTTTAACATTTACAAAAGGATCATTATGAAGTTCTGCTTATGTCATACTTTAGGATTCTGAATACCCATCTTAGCAAAGTTGTAAAATAATTTTCTTTTTGCTAGTAAGAAATTGTAAATACTAATAGGCCAGTCTTTATGAAAACTGGTGAAAATGTATTCATGTTCCATTTTGTGGCAACAGAAAATTCATAAATAACTGTTATATTTGATTATTTTCAGCAAACTTGAAAGTGCAGTACACTTGCGATAATAATGCTTCAGAAATCTCTGTCATTTCTGTGAGAAGAAACTGTCATAAATCTCTGCAGCAGAATTCATTCGTTATGTGTATAAGATTTTTTATAAACATAAGTAAGTTATCCATTTGTTGAATCTGAGTATTTTCAATCATGTTTACTGAAATTCAAAAAGACTTGTACATCAACTAAACACAGTTATCAGAATTTTCATAAGAAAATAGAATTGCCTTATACAAAGTATCAAAGTAACAAGTTTGCAACCCAGAAAATAAACATTTACTTATGTCTATCTTATCTTGAACTTATAATGTTGTAATTGAATGTGGATACTTTTCATTTGCATGTATAGAATTTATACCATCATTATAACAGTCAGTGTGGACAGTAGCACCTTAGAATTGTCTCTGTTTGGTTCTTTCAACAACACTCTACTTAGTTTAAGTGTGCGTACTTTTTCAGGCACAGTTCAAGACTGTGGCTACCCTTAATTTTCACTTTGGACCATTTGCAGAAGGAAGTACGTAGAAGATCCAGTATGCTGCATTGAACAGCATGAATGATAATGGGAAGATGATCCGTGAGTATTTGTCTATGATATTTACGTCTTTAATCTTTGGCATTGAAGCTCTAATGGCAGATGCTCCTCTTTTCAGTGCATGGAAAACTTTGGGTTTACTGTGTTGAGGAAGATGACTTCTTGATCCTCGGAAACGCAAGCCACCCGCAGACCGGACGGGGAAGGAATAGCCGCCAGCTGCTCGGTTCATGCGGAAGCTCGGTGGGAACTTGGCTGGATCAAGACCTTCTGCAGAAGATGTGGAGTAATTGCGACTGTTGTGCCGGTTGCGGATGGACGGGATGGGGGACATTCGCAGGTCCTGCAGCTCAATGATCTCCTGCTGTTGCTGGTCGGACACTGACCCAGCTGGTGCTGTAGTAAAAGCATAAGTTGTGGTTACCACAAAGAGCTTTCCTTTGAACCCACTGAGAGATTTAGCATCATCTGTCTCTCAAATGGATTGTGTTTGTTAGGTCAGTACTATTACCGTCTGTCAAAGATAATTTTTATCTAATGAATGTCCAGTACTCAAATGTTTAACATGTTTTTGTTTACAACAGAGGTTTCCAGACTAGTATATTGAGCCCTAGTATAAGTGTCAGGATATTTTTACATGACAGTGTTCAGACAGGTTTTGGTACCCACGCATCTTTACAAAAAATTACTGCTGCAGACAGTTTTCATGGTTTTTGTCTTTCTTGATTTTTTAATCCCTTTGTGTCTTAAAAGGTTTCATTTCAGTCACTCAATCACCCAACCCATCAAGAACACTGTGTAAATATGTTACCTTTTTCCACACAATAAATTCTGCAAACACCTGCTTTGACAGAGCTGAGACAGCTTAGTCAGACTTCCTATGGGTTGAATGGGTTGAATGACTATTGTTTACCTTGTGTAGTTTTCTTTTCCTCAGCCTCTTTAGTTTTTTTGGATTTCTTTTTAGCACGAGCTCCCCAATAAGTATAGTTTACAGCTGCATACTCGAGCAAAGCCGCAAACACGAAGACAAAGCACATCACTAAATAGATGTCAATTGCCTTGACATAAGAGATACGTGGCAGAGAGCTGCGCACACCTGTACTGATTGTGGTCATGGTGAGGACAGTTGTGATTCCTGCAAAGCAATGGAACAAAACATAATTTGGGGAATATGATTTTTCCACATCTATATCTGTGAGTATGTTACCAAGATTTTAATCAGTACTATATTAGAACCACAGAGCCAACCAAGTGCACAAAGCAGCACATTTCTCACATAAACTCAGATCTTAATGATTACTGTTGAAATCTCTAGAGAGTCTGATGTGTTCATTTAAGCACGTGTTACATACACTATGCTAGTACTAATCTGGTTCCCATTATGTTTCAGTTTAAAATGTATGCTCGGAATAAAATATAAAAATTTGTAATGTTACCTGTTGTTTTATATGGTTGTGAAATCAGGTCTCTCACACTAAGGAAAGATTACAGTTTGAGGTTGTTTAGGTACAAAGTGTGAGGACAACATCTGGAGCGATGAGAGAAAGTAATAGTACGATATTACATAATGTGGACTTCCATAATTTATGTTTTGCAAAGTAGTATACAGTTCAAATAGAAGGAAGTTAATGAATTATATATCACCAAAATTATCCATTTAACTTAGCTAACTAAAGTCCTTGGCGCATGAGATGGATGGGGCATACACTACACATGGGACAGATAAAAAAATGCATATAAAATTTTGAGTCTGGAAACCTGAATGGAAAGGGCTGCTTGAAAGACCTGGATGTGAATAATACAGAGTGTATTTTCTCCTGCTTGACTGAGGTGGCAACTGTATGGGTGTCTTCCAGGTCCTAGCCCATTATGATATCAAGGGCACTAGCAGTTGGTAGTAACATGCTTCCACTGTGAATCATCAGGTTTGTCTGCTTATGTTAAGCATTTCTCAATCAACTACTCAGTGCTGCATGGCTTGAGTGAGGTATACTGTTGAACAGCATGTATGTTTAGTGCGACTCTGTTTCAGATATGAGTCTTTCAGAAAATGTTTCAAAAAATTTTAACACAAGTTTCCAGAAGAATCAATTCCAAGCAGGCAAAGTATACAGTACATGGCCAAGAAGCAGAAAACAGCAGGATCATTGCTGGACACAAAGCCATATAGTAAACGAACTGTGTTGACATAAGAGACATTCAGAAATATTAGTACTAGACTTAAAACTCCTCCACAAACAAATTTCTTAAACAATTATCACAGGAGACAGATTCTGAATACACCTTTATCAAGGGTCACTAAATTGTTACAACTTTGACCATATAAGACATGCTTTGCAGGAACATGATTCAGTTTTTGCAGTTGGTTTCTTTTTTCTGTACGTGATGGAGAAGTTAATGAATAATTAGTGTTTTTCCAGTGAGACCTCGGTTTCCTTACATAGAGAGGTGAATTCTCAGAACAAATGATACTGGATTGCAGAAAATCCAAGACTTATTCACAGACTTTCCCTTCATGATGAAAATATTGGTGTTCGGTATGCAATAAGTGCACACAAGGTAATTAAACGTACCTTCACCAATTTCTACCCCTCTGCATGTACAGCATGTTAGGGCCCAATCAGCTATCTGTGTGATTGCCATTTTGCAGTCAAGCAGAAATAAATCCACTCTGTTTTAAAATTGACCTTAAAGTATTAGAATGTGAAGGTCTGGATTGGGTTCAGTAGGCTGAGGATTGGAAATAGTGGCAAGCTTTTCTGAACATGGCAATTAACCTTAAGGTTTTGTAAGAGGCTGGGTATTTTGGACCCATAAAGCAACTGCAAATTTTTTAGCAGAACACTGCTTTATGGAGCCAGTTACATATACTTGGAATGTGAGTCACATAAGGTGCTTCTGTCTTGTCTTACCACAAAGTTTGCTTCATATAGCCAGTGTAACCAAACCACTAGCCAAGTCTACCTGCTTTCTTTACTCCAGCTGCCCATCATGTGGGTACCATTAGTATTTTATTGGGGTGTTACAATACAGGATTATGGGATGTAACTTTCACTGTGTGTGTATGCTGTGGTCTGATTGTTTGGAGTTTTCAGCTTTATAGTTTAAAGAGAAAAGGGGAATTTGAGCTCTCCTAGTTGCAGGTGCATAATATTATGAAAACTGTTATTAGTACTTTCTTTATAAGATCAAATTCTAAATAATTAGAGATCAGGATATACAAAACAATAGTTCTTCCATTTGTTTTGTGCAGATATGAAACATGGTCTGTTTGAGGGAAAAGTATAAATTACAAGCATTTGAAAGCAAAGTGCTCAGAAAAATATGTCTAAGATGTAATTTTAATGCTCTAGACTTCCATTCAGTATGTACCAGGTTCAAATTTCATCTAGATTATTATGTAGTCTAACTGATGTTTCTCACAGTTTTTCCTCAGTATATCCAAATAGGCAGTAATATCCCATTGAAATTCCTGTGATGGGCTGATATGTGACCAGCATGGGGGAGGTATGAATAAATACAGAAATGGGGTGGGAAAATTCTGGCTTGAAAGACAGAATGAGGGAGGATTACATTAAGGTGCATGTTAGGCAAATAAGTTGTGAGGTTCAGATCCAATGGCAAGCCATAGTGTTAGTGGTACTGAAACTTCTGTTACTGTTAGTGACGTTAGTGACACAGTTACCTAAGGCAACACGAGCACTGGTTGCTTCATGGTTAATCCAGAAGGAGACCCATGACAACATGACAATGAGTATTGATGGGAGATATGTTTGAAATACAAAGTAACCAATGTTGCGCTGCAGCTTAAAGGAAAGTGAGAGTCGCTGATAGTTGCCAGTGGCAAGCTTCTCTTTGCGGTCATTGGTTTCACAGCCAATGATAGTAAATTGTGGTAACTCTGCTTCATCAACACCACGTACTGGCGTCTCTTTCCAATACATGACCACATCAGATACTGTGTATCCATCTGGAAATAAGAACATGTATTGTACTGTTATAAAAGAAAATGTTATGGTCTAATGATTAGTGTACTAGCCTAGCATTCAAAAGATCCCAGATTTGATCCCTGCTATTAAACTAATAATACAAAGAAAGTGTCAATATAATGACAGCCAATCACCTAAAGATGGGAATACAGACAACTCCCGAAATGTCTTGTGTATCAATTATACCTCAGACAGTGGATAATGTCCAACATACTCTTTGTATACTGAATCAGCCATTGTCACAAACCCATAGAGAATCACCTAAAATAGCAAATTAATATATATATATTTTGTAGAAAAGTAATTTCTATTTTCGCAAGAAAGATTTTGAGGATATATAACCTATGAAATTGAACCATTTTCATTAAATAACTTAATAAACAATCAGTTATTATGCAATGAAGAGTTTAATATGACAAATCTGAGTTCCATGATATTCAAAACTATTACTTTTTTTAAATAACCAAAAGTGAAATTTAAAATTATATTTTTGCAAAATTGTGGAAATATATATATATATTCTAACATACCATGACTAAGTGAACAACTAACTCCATAATTCAAGGTCTTTTATAAAATCTGACACTCAGGTTGACAAGAGATTTCTTTTTCTGTGAAACATGAAGGTTCATAATCTGGTCACATAAGTCTGTTATCGAATCCAACCTGACCTAGCTGAATGCAGTCTACATCCTCACACCCTATTTTTATTTTAATATTACCCTCCCACATACACTTAGGTCTCTTAAACAGTATCTTTTGTTAAGGTCATTCACATTATTAAAATTTGCTCTTTATAAAATATGGCAACTCAGTGCACTAGTAGCAAAAATTTTGCTGACTGTACTTACAGCTTTCAATTTCAACAGTGCAGTTCTGTGAATCCAGAGGATAATAATGAAGATCCATCATGCAGGCTAATGTTGTAGTGAACCTCATGCCATATGTGATGCTTCCATCACCATTCAAACGTACCAGTTTATTTCTCTCCGTGACATCATGCAGAAAACTAATAATAGAAGATCATTAGATCAAGCTGTCAAATTATTAGTCTAGATTCACAAGTAAAAGCAAAGAAAATAATTGTACAAGCATGTAAAGATATTTTAACTAACCATCCAACTCCTTGAACAGTTAATAATTACTCTGTTAATCAAGAAACACTTTCACACCCATATAATACAACAGGTAAAAGTTCAGTTTTATATATCTTAATTATTATATTTTTAAACAAGACACAGGAAGATAAGATTTTTTTTTGAATTGTATTGTGCATCTCATGAAATTAATTTGAGCTTTTCTTAATCTTGAATATCATTGACTTTTTTTACTATTGTTCCAAATGCTTTCACTTGTCCCATTTCTAAAGATTTTATTAACAAAACTCATGATTTTATCCTGCATCATGTAAGAATTTCTATATAAAATTAGGTAAACCATTTAAAACTTCATCAAAAAGAGAATTGTATCATTATATCCAAAATTAGTACTTTTTAAATAAACTATTCTGTCAGATCAATTATTAATCTGTTAATTTTATTATTGTTTCATTTGGTTTAATTTTGTATGATGTAGATTTAAATATACTCTAATTTATTTTTTAAAAAATTAGTCATAAATTTAGTGGATATAGATATATTATGTAGTGTGAAAGAATATAGTAGGCTGTGAAAATGAGTAGAACACAAATTAATTGTTTATGAATTAGTGTTATAAAAACTTAATTCAGTAATGCTTTCATAATACAAAACATGAATTAACTTCACTAAATTATAAAATTATTTGCTCAACACTCAGAACTTAAGAAGGAAAATATGTAGTCTTTCATACATTTTGGGGCATGACACCACACAGCTGATAAATTTTATTTTAGACTAGGTAATGACTAAATGTTCCGGTCAGGAAAGCTAGCAATGGCTGGGGGTTTGTCGTGCTGACCACACGTCACCCTATATCTGGTTGGATGATCGTTCACCTCTGCTTAGGTATGTGAACGTGAGGCCAGCAGTCAAGCTAGTCGACTTTGGCTCTCTGGAGCTGTTACGCCACGGATTTAATTTAACTTTAATGACTAAATGTATAATTATGATCTTTTCTTATTTTGTTGTTTCAAAGTGAAACATGGATACTTATATCTCACATTTCATAGGAAGTTTTAGAAAAAAATGTTATATCAGCCATCAGCAATAGTTTTTCAATATCATTATTTTTAAATACCTGGTCTTGAATATAATAAATATCAAATAGCAGTTCTTTGACCATAACTTGAAGTAAAATCTGGTAGAGCGTACATTAAGACAATACAAAGGGTACACCAGCACTTTACCTGTTCTTGTCATTGGCAAAAAATGTGTCAGGGACCCAAATTTTCTCGGCAAAATCTCCTGAGAGTGTCAGAATTTCTTCATCTGTACTGAATGCCAGTCTTTCATCTTTCCAGTATTGGTTCAGGTACATTGTGATGGTATAATCCTGCAACAAACGCCTTACTAAACCCTGCTTGAAATGAGAACATTATAACTACTAATGGCTGATTTTGCCGAAGTACTTCACATTACATTTCACATAAATGGCCAAGGTTTACTCTTAGAATTGCATACTCAGATTTATTTGTTCCCTACCACAAACACTACAATTACAATAGAACTTTGAGTGCAGTCATTTTCAACCTTTTCAATGTGGTGGCACAGTAACATTTACTTCAATGTATAACCTAGCCTAACCTAACTTAGCCTAATGTGACATTAACTGACCCATCTTAACCAACACAAATTTACCTAACCTAATATAATGTAATCTGTCCTTACCTAACATGACCTGACCCAACCTAACCTGACCAGACCAGAACTAAATGGACCTGAGTTAATAAGCTCCATACCTGATCTGACTTCAGCATTGGTACCTTTAGATCAGTGTGTGTTCTGGTATACTTCCCATTTACAGAGTTTTATCATCAACAAAAGTGAAGGCTTTTGTCTGTGAGTGTAAAAATATGCACATAGGTCTGACCAGGGACCAAACCTAGAACACTGTAAATGAAAGTAGTCCAGTGTCTAATGTCAAGATTGCAAGTTCCACTCTTCATACTACTCAATCATTTTCATTTTGTATTAAGTATTACAGTTTATATAAATATATTAATAGATTAAAATGTTTTGTCATTGTATCACCTCCAAGGTTATGTACCATCAAATGAAATTAGATTTTTGAACATGGGAAATTAGAAAGGACTGAGGAGGAAACAGCTGTGGCCTATTTAAAGGTACTGTCTAGCTATTTGCCTGGAGTAATTGAGAAAAACGTTAGTAAAAATAGTCCTTTCCACTTCAGAGATTTGATTTAGTCACTTTCAGAATCCAAGTTAGGTGCACCTTCTTCTCCTGCTACTATTGCTGCTGAAAGATTCAGAATGAACATATGTGGTAACTGTAGATTTTCATGTTTTCATGGCTGTATTTTTGTAGTCTTTTGAGTTGCTGAACCATGTATACAATGTAGTCTTTTGGCTGTATACCAACATTTTTGATAAGCATACTACTTCAGCCCTAAAGATGAAGGCAGTGTGATCCTCTAAAACGTTTTCATAGAGCCTGGGGACTATGCAGTTTAACAGTTCAGAAGACCACCATCTATGTGTGTATTTAATATTCATATTTCCTTAAGAGATGGGTGATTTGGCTCTGACAGGCTTAGTGCTGGATATAATCTCTTTTTATGGTGAAGCCTCTTCATTTTGATGCTCATATTATCAGCTGGAGCAATGAAACCTCTATGATCAAAGAGGAGCTTTCCCCCCCCCCCTCTTACCCTTTCGGATAAGCATTTGTGACGTCATGACACTCAGACTGGCAGTGAGAGAGAACAAAGCCTGATTGTGCTCTTCATAACCAATTAGTGATTTTGTAGTGTCTTCAGAAACTGTTTGTGTGGTCATTGGATTGAATACCACAGTTGTATGTTGTCGTCTGTTTAATTACCCATTGCAATAACTGTAATTCTTTATGTAGCATCTATATGGTAATGGGATTAAAGAGGACCAAATTGGGTCATATCCTGAAACATAAATTGTAGATCTTTGCCAGATATATATTTGAGGAAGGAGAAAATAAATACCAGAATTATTTTAGATAAAAAATATTTGTTCATGTTCAATTCCGACACGTCCAACAAGACAAGAAGACACATTGAAAAAACTGATGGAGTCAGTTGGATCAGTTGCATATTATGATTGTGGACTATGAGAAAAGAGGAAAAAATGAATTACTTGTAATGCAAATGGATTGTTGGAGAAATGCAAAACTGTTGATTATCGACAGAATGAATGGTGAAGAAACAATAACATAGAGGATGGGAAAGAGAAAATTCAAATGCTATGGACATATGAGAATAGAATAAGATAGATGGCTGAAAAGAATGTTCAATTTAACCACAGCATGTAATCATACATTGTGAATACCAAGGAACAAAAGCAATCAACAAGCCAAAACTAGCAGGGAAATGGAACCACGTGTAGCATATGACAAGCAGAAGTGTTGCTTGGGGACAGAAAGGCAGCAACCAGCCATACAAAGCTGACTACTGCTAGAATGATCACCAGTATTGTTAGGGTGATTAAACTATGAAAGATGAGATGGGCAGGACATATAGCATGTGTATAAATGGAAGACATGTTTGGTCATAATGTATGAATGGAAGAGAGTACATAATAGACATGAGTGCAAATTGGAGGATGACAACAAAATACATCTCTGAGAAGTATGATGTGACAGCGTAGACTGGATTCAACTAGATCAGATATATACATTTTTCTTCATTCGCATTTGTCCCGCATTTGCAGGGTCTGCGCTTTTACCTCGCTTGGAGATTTATGATTCATCTATTTTTGCACAGTGGTAGAAACTCTACCTATCAGCCCTATCTACAAGGCAGATCAGATATATACTTAACAAGATATAAGGGAAAAAACTGACTATTCCATGTGATTAGCTTTGCAGCAGTGAGTTTCTAAAAATGGTAAATCATTAAAAATGTGAGTGAAATATGCAAACAGTAAATAACACATTGAGAGATATGTTCTTCAAAATGGCCTACACCTGCCCATTGCAGTGGATAGATACGAAGTTTATTTCCTAATAATGCTGCTTACCATATTAACTTCAGAGATGGAATCAAAACTTGCAATGGTTAGGTCCATACCCACATATAAAGGATCACCTGCAAATAAAGAAAACCATCGATTAGGCCTATTCTGATGGTAACAGTAAGTACGACTAGACACTGCTCTACAGTTTTTGAATGTGTTCTTTGTGGTTTGGCACCACATCTTGTAGTAGATGCAAATCTGTTGTTGACAACAGAGAATCACAAATTCAATTATTTACAAAGCTGATGAACAGTAGAGATATTACTCTGTTCAAGGTATCCAAAGCGTCATATAATGTCAAGGTCTTATAATGTTATTTTTATTAACCATTATACAAACTGAAAAAATCAGACATCGAAATGAAGGTTAATTCAAAACATTTCTGTCAGTAAATTTCAAAATGAACTGCTTTCATAACATGGCAGATGTTTACCTGATCACCATATGCAGTACTTATGCTTGTAAACTACCCCATTTATGTGAAATCAGAACACTCCCAGTAAATTATCTGGCATGGTTATGACTCCACAAAAATTAATGTCTGGTATGGCCTACTTCTTAACAAAGTTATAGGACCTTGTTCTTTACTGAAGTCATGATCATCAGAAACATAATGATATGCTTGAAATTTTACTGTTCAGCAGTCTGACAAGACAGAGTTGGAAGTTGCCTCATTACGATAACATTGATCATGATGATAAATTTCCTGACATTGGATTGAGAATCACTCGGCCTCCAGGATCATCAGACTTTAAACCCTGCAACTTATTTTTTTGGTGTTATGTTATGAATGAATGAGTATAATTGGGGGCCAATTTAGATGAGCTCAGCAGATCAATGCAGCTACTGAAAAAGTACCTCCAGAGATGGGCTGAAATCAAATACTAGCTAGACATATTATACCACAAAAGGAATGCATATTGAAATTTACTGACAAATATTCTGAGTTGACCTTCATTTCAGTATTTTTTATTTCTGAAAATATGCCATGACAGTTTCTACACACAAGCTTCCTGTGTCTTGTAGGATTTGAGATTTTCGCGGCAGTGAGTCCGAAGACAGCTGTCTTCTGGGTTGCTGCGCCATGTAGTCTGGTAGAAGTTTACCGATGTTTCAGAGGTCCTTGCTGACTCCATCATCAGGGTGATGAGTAAGCATATTTTATTTAAAACTTCCATATCATAACAAGGTTTTGCTTCTAGGCTGTGACACTGGTAGACTCTCAGATAAATACCAACATTCCAGAGAAACATGTTTCCCCCATCTTCAGTATTATTATCCAGAATATTGTTATCTACCACTGAGTCTACACAGCATCACAACCAAAACAGTAACATCATTACCATCATTACTGTGAAATCCTCAAATTTTACATATAATTTATTTTATGCTAAACAGCATTAGCAGTTGATAGAATGCCATATAACAATAAAAAGCGGATATCATTTAGGTTTGTAAAATGCAGAATTATGAGCAACAATTTAGAAATTCTGAAACTGCACATGTTGTAAAAGTTGATGCATTTATCTTCGCTGCTTGTATGTCCGAGTTATATATAATCCTCTTGGGGCACCGGTGGAGTACTGACTCTGACGTTATGTCTGCTATTATTGCAGTCCCATATGCAAAGTTAACTCCATCCTTTGCTCCTGACAGCACCAAATGGTCCATATCTCTTATTATACTCAACTGCCTCTCTATACACAGCTGCCCGTCACCATTTTGTAAGAAACACACAGACTTTATAAATATACATTTTTTCGGCAGCTATGTTTGCACATAATGGGTAAGATAGTTTTGTAGATCAATCTGCATATTTTATTTCCAAAATTAGTGAATGAAATTTGGTGTTTGGAGTCAAAACTAAAAGGCTTCAGAAAGCATTAATTTTTTTTCCTATCCATGTAATAAAATTCTCAGTTTACATGAGGCTCAAGCCAACTTTATCTTTTTTTATAAAAAAATGGCTTAGTACAAAGACTGATATCTAATACAAAATACACAGCTTTTTCAATGTACAACTTTGGTTTCAAACATTTTTTATATAGTTGATACATAACAAATTATAAAGACAATTTCCGCAGTGTGATATCTGTAGTACGATTAGTTTAACAATAAGTTTGTAGCAAAACTAAATAAGCATCAGGGTCAGTGTGCTATGAAAACTGCAAATAAGTTTTTCAAAAGTATGTAAATGCCATTGGAGTCGTCTAACAAGTAAGAGCATGTTTATGTGAAGGAGTAACGACATGAAATCTGTGGAGAAGGGAAGCAGCTAGGGACAGAGACGCATGGACAATAATTTGGCTATTGATCAGCTCCTCGTGTCTTCAGTATCGACAGAACAGAGGGTAGGGGGTAGAGATTCAACTCCAGATATTGGATTCTCCCTATATGAAGATTGCATCTACCTATGTTGGCCTTTTGGAAAGTGGCCAGGTTATGTAGTTACTGGACATTATATGCAATACTCTTCCTGACAGAATAAAACAAATACCCCCTTCTTTGAGATTTTTTGTTGGCATTTAATCCAGGAATTTATATATGTTTCTATTATTTATTTATGGTTTAGATTGACGAGAAATGCAGGTAAACCTGATAAATGCATACAAATTATTTACCAGAAAAGCTAAAGGAAACGCATCTCTTGGAAGACCTAGGCATAGATGGAAGGAAAAATTAAATGGACGGTCATTAATAGAGTGTGAAGTTGTGGCCGTGATACAGCCTGGTTTAGGATTCTGTGAAATTGCGAGATTTTGTGATGCACCTTCAGGTTCCATAGAGGGCGGGGAATTTATTGACGTTTCGAGGAACTGTAAACTTTTAAAGGAACCCTGGAATAACTTTTATAAGACGTTTAATAGGTAACGAAAACCGGCAAGAATTTTACCTGCTTCACGAGAATGGCTCAGCCAGTGACTGAGCCGAAGTATAGACGATCGGGGCTTGGTTTGGGAGGGGCGTGGATTTATCTCTTCTCCACCACTGTGTGCAGACAGTTTCTGGGGCCCACCTAGCCGTCTATCCAGTGGCCACCGGGGATTCGTGAATCTATCACTAAGGTTATTAATGCGTGGAATTAAAACCATTTCTCGACTGCCCCATTGAATAGACACGGGGATGGATAACTTTACTTTAAAATTGCCTATCAGAGTTCAAGGGCATAAAGAAGATTGTGAAGGCGAGTATATCCGCCCCGCCCCCCCACCACCACTAAGGCTGAAGACTTCGTTTTGTCACCCGGCAGGTGGCAAAGCGAAATATAACCTAGCGGAGATGTCACGTTTTGAAAATGACGTCTTGGTTAGCATGGCATATAGGATCCGGTGCATTGGACTAGCAGTCTGTACAATTTCCTGTCGAATTTACGTCTTTCGATCATAGAGGCAGTTAGGGCCCAAGCCTTTGTCTCTGTGTCTTCAAAGGAAACATCTGGAACTGTCAGATCCACCCAGAGCCGGACGCATTGTATTCTAAAATTATGGATCCCAGAAACATCGTGCGGATAACGGCCATATTGGACTGTGATCTCAGTTATGGCTCCGTATAAGCTTGTAGGTCGTAAGAAATGTTTCGGAGTAACATGTCGCGTGTTTACCGCCATGAAAATGTCAGATTGCAGATAGTCGTATCATTCCTTGACATAGTAGACTGGCGAGTTCAAAATCTACACAACTGAACTGCTTATTCCAGATTGTTAACAAATTAAATCAAACCAAACTAGACGTTGGTAGTGGCATTTTCTTTACACCATATGTGACGGTCACACCTCATTGGCTCGCTCTGTCTCAAGTAACGCCATGACGCAAGCTTAATTTGAAAAATCGATAAAACGCAGAAAGTAAAAACATTCATGATGATATTAATCAGACGCTCACAGATAGCATATATAATTCAGAGAAATATAATGTATTGCAGTTCTTATAAGTGTCTGAATTCGTGAACAGTGCAGAATAATAAGTAATATGTCTATAAAGCCGTGTAACATTCTCTTCCCCTACCGGGAATATAATTCTGGTCGTCCAGCATGAAGTTTAGTCACCGGCTCTCTGTTTACGTAACACCGTGAAAACGAAAGTAGTCTTTGATTTAAATGAAATGACATTTTAATTCCAATATTTATGTAAAATTACTCAGGATTATTATTGTTGTAAGATTTGAGGTTTTCACAGCGGTGAGTATGAAGATTTCTGTCTTCTGGGTTGTTGCGCTGTGTAGTCTGGTCGATGTTAACCAACGTTTCAGAGGTCATACTGCCTCCGTCATCAGGGTGATTCTTAGTATGAAGATTTCTGTCTTCTGGGTTCTTGCGCTGTGTAGTCTGGTCGATGGTTACCAACGTTTCAGAGGATACTACACAGCGAAACAACCCAAGACAGAAATCTTCAGGATTATTATTGTTGTATTTTAAGATCTTCGGAACACTAAATAGTGGAGATGTCAGCAGATGATGGCTGATTATGCCGAAACGCGTTTGCTTGGAGATTTTGTGTACGGAAGTTGTGATAGCTCGTAGTAAACGCCACGGACATTAATTTAATTAAGACGGAAACGAACGACAATTTCTGCTATCTGGATAGGTCAGATGTGATGATCAAATGGTTCTCTTGTGTGGGATCCCCCCCGTAATTCATATGTTACTGTTAAACTAGGGATGGCCTTGACGCTGAAGGAGGCTAGATGTGTGTTCGGAACAGATTAGAACCGACATGTCACACGGCGACGTATAAAAACTGCGTTTACGACCGTTTTATGTCTTAAATGAAATATTCTACTAATGAAAGTCGTAGTTTTACGACTCCCACAAGTAAATATATCGTTAAAGCAGAAAAAATGTCATGTGTTTGGATGAATTTCGCGGAAGAAAACGAACGAATGAGATAAATATAGAAAGAGGGAATGAATGAACGTCGTTTGCCTCATTTTACAGAGTTATGACAGAATAACCATTACATCTGGCGTGGATGAAATGCCACTATCTAAACCACCCTAAAGATGGTGGCAGAAGGTGCCTCCAAAGCACTGGAAACAACGAGGAAACCACAATATACACGTTTACAGCCGTGAACAGTTCAAATCTAATGTAAAATTGAGGTTGATTAGGAAACGTTTATGTTTATGCGTGTTTCCAGGGTGTATCGAACCTAATTCCATATTTAGCTGACATCTGTTGGGTAAATTTGTTGACTAACAGGTATCACCGCTCTACGTGCCTTAGGCTAGCTTTATGGACCAATGCCACATGGATTAATTTATTGCGTGTTATGTGGGGAGATGAGCGATAACTTGGCCTCTTCAATAACGTTTCGACGTGATGTCATAAGAAAATAAGTTTTATACGCCGAGAGCTGGTACCGACGAGCACATCCCTCAGCGAGTAGCTTCAGGTTGATGACATGATTTTTCATTCGTTTATCGCAGAAAAACGTTTACCGTTTCCAAGGTTCGTGAATTGTAGCCCGGAGCTCTCGAATTTAACATATATCGATATATCTATGTAGCGAAAACTGGGTGTTTTCTTTACGTGTTTGTTTATAATAACAATGCATTCTCAACTACGTGGTGGATTTTGAGTTGAATGGGAGGATGGTTATGAATCATCAGTGGATAATATTATAGCTTCTCGCTTATGTTGATGCCAAATACCATTACACTACAAATGTTCTGTTTTTCCTTGTAAGAACATGCATGGGCCTACGTTTGGTATACAACACTACTTTCTTCCTTGTTCGTTCGTTTGTTCCTTTCTAATTTCCTTTCTCGTTTTCCCTCCCACAATTTCTTTCCTTTGTGCTCCACTTTTCTCGTTGTCGCTTTTGTTTTATTCGTTTTCTCAGTTCTCATTTTGTTGAACAAAAGATCAGTTCATTTCTGCAACAAATGACATCAAGAATCGCACGTCAATGGTGGCCGAGTGATTAGCACTCCCGCGTGGTTTTCCTCAGTCCCTGCTGGTAAATACTGATATAGTAGGGCCTAACTTAAATTATCCGAACCGCTTCCTTCCATATCCTTTCCAAGTAGTTATACATCGTCTGAGAAAGCGACTGTGTCTCTGTACGAACGAATCTTAAACTCTACATAAATTAAACAAACAGAAGTCCATAGCCTCGTGTACTGCGCTGAACCGAAAACCCTTGCGCGCTCGCTAATTCCCTCGCGGTTAATGAAGAAGGTCCATCAGAACTTAAATAAATTTATTTAATTTCATTTAGTAGTTTTGTGGCACAGAGACCGTACGGAAGGAAGTCTTTGTTACTCTTCAAGACTCCCTCCCCCGAAACTGGTGTCCAAGCGTTCACTTGAACTGCTTAGCAAGAAGACATTATCCGTCAAATGCAGTGAGTGGCCCAGTGAAACTGACATAATCCATTTTTGCAGTTCAGTGTCGGTTAGGGGAAGAACTGTAAAGTGTGATTGTCGCGTAGGCAGGAAGCAGGAGCGCTGATGTGCTGGCAAATCAATACTGTTCAGACTGGTGACGGTGTAAGGTTGGTAGCCGTGGGGGGACAGCCCCTGTCTTTATCGTCAGTCTCGTATATTAAGCAGTTAACCGTGCGACAGACGTGTCATGGTACTCAGTGGACTTGACGTCTTTTGTAGTTAATCTGTCCAACACGTAAAACTCTTTTTCGGAAGTTGGCCTGCGCTAAAGACTGTTTCTAACAACTGATAACCAATCACTGAAGCTGTCCTGGGGCGATGTTCATATACAGCAGACTCTCTACTGTCCGGGGGCGGATTAATCAGGGTCTGTCCGGTTGAAACGAAAGTTATAGAAAAATCTGTTGCTTTAGAGCGTTTAAAAATAAAGGAATAAAATTAATAAAGACATTTAACTTTATTAACATAAATCAATAGTTGCTAAAATCTGGAGTTTACGATAGTTGAACATTGTTACTCTCTGTTGGAATCCGATACGCGTTCGTTTATTAGTAATTTATCGATTTTGAAAATGTATGTACTGCATAAAATTATATATAAAATTCATTTTGTTATTATTAAATCTTTAAAAAATTGAAACAGCGTATGTCTGAATAAACGTGAACGTATTTGTTGCATTTGCGTGATTTATTTTCACTTTTGTTGATCATCCAGGGTTTCGATTATCCTGTAAAATATATTTCCCAACTAACCCAGATAATCGGGAGTCTACTGCATTGTTAATAATATGACTCTTCCTTAGTCCTTACTTTTCTAATGTTACAAGGAAAGTAGCCTAAGTGCAAAAACAAATCATATTAAATGTGCCCCTTGACAACACCAAAAGTGATTACGCATATATGAAATGAACATTAGTTGCCATCCATCTTAGGTTTTGGCGGGGGCCAACAAACCTTCACAATAAATATGTAAAAGTGGAACTTTGGGCTTTGTCCATAGTCTATGTTTCAATAAAATTACGTTTCGGAAGTTGAATCTTCTTCCATCTTCAGGTCTGAGGCTAGTTTAACCAAACGACACAAGAGCTAAGGTTTCTTTACTTCCTTTTTCACCTTAAGACGGGAGAAGATTTATCTTCCGAAACGTTGTAATTTGATTCAAATATAGACGATGGACAAGCCCAAAATTAAATTTTTAGTTTATAACGCACCATCGGCAGAAACTTTCAGATTTCATCTTGCGAAGGCAAGTTCCTGAAGCGACTCGTATGAACAAGCACTTGAATACTTGCTGGCTTATAAATAAATAATAGTAATAATAAATCGACCTAGTAATTCGTTCCAGTAAATTCTAAATGCGAAACCGTGCATGAAGGAAAATAGTAAATGTACCTACAACATTTTTTGTGAAGCATTTATTTTTAATTTGTACGTTAATCGTGAGCATGTCGACCACAGAGAAGTTTTAGATTATATGTGGCAAGTTTTATGTAGTCAGTGTCTGTGAGAATTATAAACAAAAATGAGCCCTTAACTGTGAAATTACAAATTTATATTTTTCTGCTAGTTTCGTCATATAGACCGAAGGATTTAAGGGAACTTATTGTTAATAACTTTTGAAAAGACGATACATCGATCTCGCCCCAATTCTTACTTGGCATATCTCGATTAGGATTAGCTTTATTGATTAGCTCTCAGCATGGCTGTTAAGCATTCTTACAGGCGGATTTCATGCTAAGCTCACCTCCAAAGTTTGGTCTCAGCCGGATATCGTATCCCTGCAGGAGTCTGGAAATGGTCTGTGTCACATTTTCTAGGCGGTTCGACTGGGATTGTTGCTGCTCGTTGCTGTGGAAACAAACGTCCGAATTACTTTCACAAGTAAAAAAACAGTTCGCATAAAAATAAGCGTTCTTTTCGTTTTAGCATTCTTTATTTGCCTTATATTTTCATATTTTACAGATCTAATCAAAAATATACGTATACTATTAACTGTGACCAGGTAAATTTTCTTACAAATTTTTCTTCAGGACTTTGTCTGTCGTCTTAAGTTATAAAATAACAAAACAGCATTTCAGATGCTGTATTCTGCTTTCATCAGGTAAAAAGTGAGGAAAAGAGGACAGGAAACCTGTCTGTTGGGCCCCCTGGTTGAACTAGCCTCCGTTCTGAGGTTCTTTTACCTGTTTACATGAAGAAAGGAAGCAGAATCCAGCTTCCTAAATTTTACAATTTAAGACGATGAGCAAAGTCCAAAAATTGTTGTTCAATATTCCATCTCTTGTTACAAAACACTACCAGAGCACAGCGCGTCAATGTGCTATTGTATCACTGCAGCATGTCACTGACGTCACTTCAGAACGACACGGCTGCAGTGACAAGATTAGATAATGGCATTGATGTTGCATGGCACGAGGCGATATATTGAATAACAATTGTTGATTAATAAAATAGGATGCTGCAATACAACATTAAAATCAGAATTAAAGTCTCTAAATTCTGTCAGACCGAAAACCAGATAAATAATAAGCATTTACATTTTTAGTAAATTTCAGGTTTTATCCTAAGTCATCAAAAACATGTTCTAGTTATGACTAGATAGTCATGGCGTATGTTCTTTCTTTAGAAACATATGGTCACTCAGCCATTCAAGAAATTCTCTGAGTCTAGATCTTTATTTGGGCAATATTTTCCCTCATAAGTGATTAATTTCTCTCTCACTCAGCGGGAGGAACACAGATTGCAGGTGTTTGAGAATTGGGTGTTGAGGAGGATATTTGGGCCTAAGAGAGAAGACGATGGGGCGTGGAGAAAACTGCACAATGACGAGCTTAAAAATCTGTACTGCTCCCCCAGTATTGTGAGGGTGATTAAGTCGAGAAGAGTGAGATGGGCGGGACATGTAGCGCGCATGGATGGGACAAGAGGTGTGCACCGGGTACTGGTTGGGAAACCTGAAGGGAAGAGACCGCTGGGGAGACCTAGACATAGATGGGAGGATAATGTAAGGCGGGATCTATGGGAGATAGGAGTTGAAGGAGACTGGATTTTGTTGGCCCAGGACAGGGTCCGGTGGAGGGCTTTGGTTAATTCGGTGATGAACCTTCGGGTTCGGTAAGCCATCTAGTTAGTTAGTTAGTGATTAATTTCCTGCTGTTAAACGATGTACAGAATCGACACAGACTTATTATGTTTATCCGGTAATGAAACATATTTAGACCTAGAAATAGAGGTTAAGAAAAGGATGAGACAATCCATAATGAAGAACATTACATTTTTTACTCTTAACGTAATAATATCAGCGTGATTAAGTCATTGAGGATGAGATAGGTGGGCATGTAGAACGTGTGGGCGAAATAGAAAATGCGTACAAAATGTAATAATGAAAACCCGAAGGGAAGAAGCCACTTGGGAGACGGAGAATAAAACGTTGATATTGCGGTCACAACAGTGTAGATTGGATTTTAAGATGGCTGTCTTCTGGCGATCGAACTCATCGCCCTGATGATGGAGGCAGTAAGGACCTCTGAAACGTTGGTAAACTTCTACCAGACTACACAGCGCAAGACCCAGAAGACAGCCATCTTCGGACTCACCGTCGTGAAAACCTCAAATCCTAGTTAGATTGGATTCAGCTTTATCGGAATATGGTTCGGTGGAGCCCCTTCGTGGACATGGTAACGAATTCTGGCTCCAAAACCAGAGTATCCATTGACTAGCCTAGTAATTATGAATTCTTCAAGAAAGACTTTCCTCGTTTCAGTTGCTATGTTACTGGTGACCTTCATTCTTGGTTAGGGATCGTGTGAACATCTCCGTTTCTGTTGCATCATCGATGTCGTATAAACTGCTGATGACCCGAAATGTCGCTCAGCGGATGTAAACATGCGTTTTAAGTGGGGTGCAAACGTTCGGACCCGTGCCAATTTATTGTTTACATTCTCAGTATTCGTCATCAGGTTTTTTAGTTTTCGGTTTTGGTTCTACAACTTACCGCTATCATGCTCGTTATCACAATTATTAATGTTAGTGTTGTTATCTCGGTCAGTTTAGCGATTATGGGATGATAGGCTACGGTTTGATTTCTCGCAATTGCAGGGTTTTTCTTTCCCACCGGTTGTAGAATCCACAGAGTTTCATGTCAGGAGCAGTCGATTGGAAGTAAGGTCGGACGGAAATTGTGACTTATCACTCACCTCTACTTAATACGAGCGGAGAATAAGTTGTGAGGTTATTCAATTCTGTTACTTCTACAGTGTAAGAGATATGATGAATGATACAAACATCTTCATCTGGTTCTTCGCATTATAATAAATGAATCTCTGGCAGCCATGTCAAAGCAGTGTAATTGTTAGGCATTTTGCTTTTAGCTGCAACCTCAATCAATAAATCGAGTTGTGGTGGTATAACAATTACATCAGGTGTGGAAGAAATGCCATGTAATGTATATAAAGCTAATATAAATATAATTTTTAAATTGTAATCGTATTTGTTCATTTATTCAACGTGTTGACAGTGAGAAAATCCATTGCAATTAAGACGACTTTAAACCATCTGAAGCCGAAGCTCGTCTAAATAATGTTTAATAATTCAGTCCGTACCGCAAAGAGAACTCGCCGCCATTAAAACGATTAATTAGTTAACGCTGTTTATAGCGGGAATCGTACCCAACAAAATAAAGCTAACAGTCGAATATAACATGTAAAGACGAAGAGTTATTGATTGTTTAAGGAGGTGGGATATATACTTATCGTTGTGCTTTAAAGTGTTAAACCGATTATTTAACTGGCTGACGACACGTTCCTGTGACAGACTTTTCTGAAAGCGGTAATGAGCCTTCGGGTTCCGTAAAAACAGGACAATTTTTGAACCAGTTAAGCGACTATCAGCCATGTGCAATTTTTTCTTATGGTAGAATAATCCTTTGTTAGAAAACTGCCGTTGGTCAGTTCCAGGCTTGTATAAAGTGAATTAATATGAAACAAAATTATATTCGATTTGAAGCCTTCTCGGCGACGTAATTCATTAAAATCTTCTCGGGCAATCAACCGTGTTAACTGGTTACCGTAGTAAACCGACGTTTCAGGGACCATCTCTGTCCCCATCATCAGGGTTCTGATGTCACATCACGTCGGTTTTGTCTTGTAACCATTTAACGCACCTGATAGCCCGAGAATATTTTATTAAAATCATATTTTAAGTTCAGTCCTTGATTTAGAGTTACAAATTCCGTTAATATTTGTTTAATACCTTCTATAATTAAACGTGTGGACATACAGACATACAGTGAGAATTATTTGTTACTTTTATGTAATTCGTGCGAATATTACGATAAATGGTATAACCTAACCAGATATCTACATAAGAGTCTTGAGTTTTCTTTTAGCCAAGAAGAAAAAGAAATGGCAGGACTGCACCATTTACTAACTTCCCCCCTTAACGTCTCGCTAATTTAAGACGAGAAATTTAATACTGCACAGAAACAGATGGGACCTGATCACCAAGACACATCTTTGATCTGTTTTCAGTGCTTATTTTTAATTCGTTCTAAATATATATTAAACGGACAAATCGTAGGTGGCTCTGGCACATATGCGAGGCAATGTTAGGACATCTGTCTGCACAAAAGCCAGTTATATCTGACCCCAGTTATATCTCTTACGACAAAACACATTCAGGCAACTTTCTGTCTTTGTTGACTCATTGGTGCATTTAAAGGTAATGGAACTGGACTGATTATTCACAACTGCCATCAAATCGAATAACTGGATTCAAAACTTACACTTGCATATCTTATTTTTTTATAAATGTAATTTTCTTAGGTACCGGTGTAATGAACTAGTATTCTAGGATAAAGTTAAAAGTTTTTCCTGGAACTTTAAGCACCATACTAACAAGAGAGGATATGGATGTACAATGCAAAAATTTGTAATCTCGCGAACAACGGTGTATTAAAATAAACACAAAGGTTTACATGCGATTTGTGTTTCTTGATTGATCGACCTAGCACCATACAATAATTCTGTATCTCGCATAATATTAGAAATATATGAAATGTAACGGGGAAAGTAGGCTACGTAATTTTTAATGTCTTGGTTTTAAACTGAGTGACTCACTAAGTAATTTTCTAGCCTCGAAGTAGAAAAGGATTTTGTTAAAATTAAGAATAAGAACAGTTATACAGTTTAATTTTCACTGACATTGCTTGGTGCAATCAATTAAATAGTGTTATAAAAATAACAACAAAACTGAACTCAAGTTAATTCTTCTTACGATCTTAATAACTTACAAACTAACGAGTATTCCTTAGAGATTTCTGTCTTCTGGGTTGTTGCGCTGTGTAGTCTGGTCGATGGTTACCAACGTTTCAGAGGCCATACTGCCTCCATCATCAGGGCGATGAACCAGACTACATAACGCAACAACCCAGAAGACAGAAATCTTCATACTCATCGCCCTGATGACGGAGGCAGTATGACCTCCGAAACGTTGGTAAACATCGACCAGACTACACAGCGCAACAACCCAGAAGACAGAAATCTTCATACTCATCGCCCTGATGACGGAGGCAGTATGACCTCCGAAACGTTGGTAAACATCGACCAGACTACACAGCGCAACAACCCAGAAGACAGAAATCTTCATACTCATCGCCCTGATGACGGAGGCAGTATGACCTCCGAAACGTTGGTAAACATCGACCAGACTACACAGCGCAACAACCCAGAAGACAGAAATCTTCATACTCATCGCTGTGAAAACCTCAAATCTGACAGAGTATTCCTTGACCAACTGCTAGTTATTTAACTGATCAAGAAAATGTATTGCTGTTCTGTGTGTCATTTGATTTAGACATCATGATACTTACCTCACAGCCTCGGTCCAGCCAGGTGATATCGATGTCGCCACCACAATGAACCATATGAACCTACTTTCTTCTGTGAATATCACCATTATTGTGTACAGTGTACCACTTATGCCTCGGTGTTATGAGGCCCTTCGAATTTCACGTGATCTGATAATCCAAGAACACCGATTCTTTCCGAGACATTTGTAAAGACATGGATCTAGCGACCTGGATTTTGTTCGTAATTGTTCCAAAAAATCTACACACACGTATTTACGTTACAATTTTGTTTTACTGAGATATGTGAGTAACCGTGATTATGAGTGAAATAAGATGCAGCCTATGTGCAGCATCACGCAAAATCTCCTACTGTTGAGATGTGTGGGGTTTATTCTGGACATTGCGCATGCGTAGAAAGTCGTTGGGAAGGGATGCAATGTGTGCCAAAAATGTGTCGGAACTATTCCACAATTTGACATTGGCGGCGCCACTGAATTCTGAACTAGGACTCGTGCTTCCATCTAGCTGTTATTATTTTATTATTTCTTATAGAATTTGTCAATTAATGGTTCTATTTTCTTCCCTCAGACTTGTGTGATACAGAAACCCTACTTTCATGCCATATTTCTTTTATTTATTTTATTCTTACTCGTTTCTTATGTTTTCCTCTTTCTTCTTTTGTTTCAGTTTAACTTTTAAGATATGACAGAAGACGTTTCTTGTGCTGGTGTTATTAAAATCAAATAAATCGAGTTTAGAACATCTTTGAACAGATGTTTTGTTAGTAACATAGGAACGGTTTATGGAGACTTTATACCATGAACTTCGTTTCATAAATCGAGCCACAGAAATTGATTCTTTGACTTTTGTTACAATTCTTATTTTCCTTTTTTTTTTTTCCCAAGGAATTTCGCTCCTTACGTAAATTCAATTAAACGAAAATTATTAAATGACGGTGACTGATTAATTTAAAAGAAGCGTTTTCTCCGCTAAACGAAAAAGAATAACTCCAGTGGAAGTAATAACAGTTGAAATGTATTTTCCGAAACGAACAAAAGAAGCCACACATTTCTAGCAGACATATTCCTGATATATAAAAGCAACATCAAACTGGGAACCGCTCGAACGTTTCTCTTCTGTACCTTTAGAGGAACTAATAAGCTTGAATATGTTTGCAGTAATAAACGTTATATTATTGACTTCAGTTATAATATTAATGATAGCTTCGGTATCAAATCAAGGAACGTAGATTCTTCTTTGAAATCTTTTATGCTAACGTCGTATGTCGGTTATTCTGTGTCCTGATTCAATTGCAGGAGCTCATCTTATTGGCACTAATTGAAATTTTTTTTGAAACTGTGTAAACTTCGTTCCATTGGGATGCATTTAGCCAGACGTTTATTCACGAGCGTAAGCAGCCACAGTGAATATTTTTAATCCTCTCACTGTTACGACCGATGTTTTCTTTGTCGCACAGATCATCTTTTCCAGTGGGAAATAATTATTCTGCCAACCGTTGACACCTAAGGCTAGCTACTTATGATTTCCTCAAATTAAATTTATGTACCTAACGTATTGAAAATAAAAATCAAATAAAAATGTTCACCCCTAATTCAAATTAGGCACCGGAAGGGTTGTATCTGGCAGTGGAAAAGCGTCTTATCGCGCTATTTGGCGCGCCTCTAGGCACTTTTACAATTACATGTAATTTGTATGTCCGAATTAACGTCTCCCCCCACCCCCTACACTGCATATATTGCTTCGTTATTTCATATTCTATTATTTATTGGCTGATTTATCTCTTGTAAGAGATGCTACAGTGTGTAGGCTGCGCTTGGACCGTGTTTCTAATTATTTGTCTCGATCTCCAAGTTCTATATTGCTCGGAGAAAGGCATGATAGTAGTGACGCCATCTTTACTGCAGGATTTCTTTGGTTCAAGAATGGAATATGTGACTTGTGGTGTTTTCCTTAGATAACATGTTCTTTTCAAAGGGATCTTTGCTATAAATACTGTCTTCAAGTAGTTATTTTTCAATTTATTCATTTTATCTTGAACTACAAGGAAACAGTATTTGTTAGAATCAATTTATTTTAAATGTGTGGGACATGAGCAAAATATATATGAAAAATAGGTAGTTTAGTTCGAAAAAATATCATTTTAGAAGGCCTAGGCGTATGTGGGGATAACATTAAAATAACTGTTAGGTAAATTGGGTGAGAGGGTGAGGATTGGATTAAAATGGCTCAGAATAGGGGCCACTGACGGGGTCCTATGAACACGGTAATGGAACTTTGGCTTTAAAAGCCGAGGATTTATTGGCTAGCTGAGCGACTATTAGCTTTTCAAAACAAATTTTGTTTCTTAGACTTGGTAGCATTCCTCCACAACATATGGTTATACCGCCATTACTCGGTTTCCAAAGAAACGTTTCTGAGAACGATGTTTATGTACCATATAATGGGTGAGGCCGACATAAAAGAATAGAAACTTTGGGCAACATCGTATCATTTATAATTTCCTTCAGGATCGGCTGCCTAGAAGGAAGATTTCTGTACTTTTTCTCAGACATTTCCTATAAATGCGAGCGTAAAGAATGTGTGTTCTACTTTCGTTCCTCAGCAGTTAACAGTGCCAGGACTTGGAGACAGGGCAGAAAGCGTCCGGTCCCATGCCAGCGAATCTCTAGACACAAGGAGCTCTTGTTCAAATACCAGATGCGTTCTTCCTGATAGCTCGCTATTCCGTGAATCAGTTGTTGCGAACATTCTTGTGCTCCAGTTTACTCTGTGCTTAAGGAATGGCGCAACATCTCTATAGTAATCTGTAGTGACATGAACACAGGACACTTCAAATCCCTTCTTTATGCTGGATGCTTTCATTTAAGTCGACGCACACAGGAAAATAGATTCGAAATGTTTCTTTCAAGTCTGCGATCGAAGTGAGTGATCTTCGAATTAAACTCATTTGATAGAATATATTAAATGACCTTCTTCTGGGTTGTTACGCCTTGTAGTTTGGTATAAGTTTACCGACGTTTCAGAAGTCCTTGCTGCCTCCATCATCAGGGCGATGAGTGACTCATAAAACTCACATGAACTGACTTGGATATATTTTTATTTGGTGCTGAAATATCACCATTTTATCGGTTTAGATTGATAGTCTGTGATTAGGAACGGGTAGTCAGAGCTTTAAAGCTCACGCCTGTGAGTGTATTAACGGATATTGATTGCACCTGTATGGACGTTGCCTGCTATTAAAACCATGCTCCACTCAGCGCAACAGAAGTAGTAATATTGATTAAATGAAGATTTTATCTGTGTTAAAATTTTTCAAGTCCGTCTTTGTCAACTTTGTTTGTTTTATCGGAATAAGGCAAGCTGTTGTATGGGTCACGGTCTATGTTGCACGCATGGCGAGATAAGAAATGTGTATAAAATTTTATCCTAAAAATCTGAAGAAAAGAAGCTAATAGGAAGATCTAGGCATGGTTCGGGGAAAATATTAAAGTGGACTTCAAATAAATGATGTGCGAAAATGTGTATGAGATTAAAATGTCTCGGGATATGATCCAGGGGCGGGCTCTTATGAATACTGTAATGAATCTTAGGGTTACATGTAGTCTGAGTTACTAAAAGCGTCGTTAAACAAGCTACAAATATGCCTAAATAAAGGTGGATTATTTCTTTACCAGTTCGTTGAATATCAGTTTCTCAAAATGGACTGCTCATTGGAATTAAAGACACCATCGTGTTTCTTAGCGACAGGGATGGATAGACAAATTTATGTAGTGACGGCTGGAGCCATATTTTATCGTCCAGAGCAGTGTTTTTCAAATTATTTACATCACTACCCAGTGTAAGAAATAAATTGTACACTGCGACCCCAAGAAAAATTATACAACATTTTATAATTTGTCAATAACAATAAAATAATGCGGTGGGTTACATTACGTTGAATAAACTAATATTTTAAAATCCTTGTTCACTCGTGCAGGTTGTTGTGAACGGCACCGGGAACAGCACTCTTCCAAACAATGAACGTCCTTTTGGAATCTCAACCCCAAATAAGATTGTCTTGTAATAACTTTCCAGTGTGAATAAAGAATTTAGTTGTAAAACTCTTTTCTGTCAATATAGAACGTAGTATTTTAGAATAGAAATTTCAAGTATCTGACGGCAGAGTTCTCATGAGGGTATTTGGAACTAAGAAATATGAAATTTTTCATTTAAAGTACCCATATTAGAACGATGAACTCGCGCTTTATGCAGATCACCTAGTCGCGTATATTTATCGAATAATGACGTGTGGGACGCTACGATATTCTGGTGCCGGGATGCAAGAAATGCATACAATATTTTGGTGGGGAAACCTGCCATAAAACGTTCCGTTGAAGACCGGGATGGAGATGGAATATTAGCGTTCGGATGAATCTTAATTAGGATGGGTGTTCAATAAAACTCGCTCGAGATCAGTGTCCAATGACGGGGTTTAATATTAGTGCTGGGCATTTTGGTCCCTGTACTAGAGAGTTATTATACATCGGTTGAAGATGAAGTTGGCAGTCTTATAGAGAAGCTCTTAACAATTTGCATTTGTACAGAGTGGAAAAATAACAAGTACATGTTGAAGACAACTTTCAAATTATAGCCAGGCTTTAAAGAAACGACATGTAACAATTTTGACTGCAGTAGGATGTTATTTTCATAATATTTTCCTTTTCGCTTATTTGTTGTAACACCCGAAGCGTAAGCCAGAACTTCGTGAATGGTGCTTCCATACCCAAGGTGCACCTGTTTCTCTGTTAACTATTTTGGCTCCGTGCCTCGGAGATTTTCATGTTGGCAAAATATCTTTTCTCCCCCTACTCGA